AAACAAAACAAAACAAAAAACAACCCCCCAAAAGCAGCAAAATTGTAGATGATATATTACAATACAACTTAAAAAATTACTTACAAAACATTATACAGGCCGCCGGCTCAGCACCAGGGGGCACGCCTCTGCTTTTTAAGAAAACAAAAAAGCAAAGACTGGTGCCCCTTTAAAAATTTTTTTTTTTGAATCAGACGGCACCTGGAAAATAAATCTTTACTTTTTTTTTTTTTTTCTCCTTCTCCCCTCCCTCCTCCCCCAGACACTGGCCTGGGTTAACCTCCGTGCAGAAATTCCCTTCTTGTCTGGGACAAATCCAAAATTAGGCAGCAGGGACTGGCACTGATGGTTGCATCCACTCCTTTAAATAATAATAATTAATTTAAAAATAATTAAAACAAAAATAAAAACACAGTAACAACACAACATCCTTCTTCCTTATCTCCTCCACGGGCTAGGGATGGGTTTGCTGGAAGGATTAAAGAAGAAAAAAAAAACTCATGACAAAGATGGTTTGCAATGACTGGAGGTAGGACTGAGGATGGCGACTGGAACCCCCTTTAACTGGGGCAGCAGGGAAGAGAAGTAAAACCCTGGCATTACAGGGGACCTCTTCCAGATTAATTAATATTGATTATTATCAAATAAGGGAGCTAGGTGGAAACTCCACTGTTCCTTAGCCTTGTTGGGCCAGACGAAGTTGGTCATGCTGCTGTCTGAGGAGCGCGGAGACCTTTATTTTGAGTACACCAGAAGTAACGTGCCTGGAGACAAGATTTGTCCCCGGGGTTGTTCCTTCCAGATCCCTAGACCTGACTTCGAGGCCTGAGGATGAGGGCTGTCATGGTGCGAAGGTCCAAGAGCTCTCTCAGGGTAAATCCCCATCACCTGCTGACCAGCCTAGCAGCGTCGTCTGCCATTTGCCTGCCCTCCAGTCGAAGGGGAAACCAGAGCAATGGTCCTGTCGCTTCACAGCTGCACTAGTCGAGGGGTTCCCTGGGTTTATGGAATGGGGAGCTTGAGGAGGAGCATGGAAAAGAAGCCCTGGAAGTTCTGGGAAGCAGAGTGCTGGAATTCAGATGGAGGTACTGGGAGGAAGGGAGCACTGGTGGGTGCCGAGGGAGGTAGCCAGTGGATCAGTTAAAATTTTTCCTCTCTGTCTCTCTAAAAATTAAAATATAGATTTATTCTAAGCATTAAAGTCTCTTTGGCATCTCTCCAGACCCTGGCCCCAGTGTGGGCAGCAGCGGCGGCACTTCGGTCTCGACGTGTGCGGACAGGCGCAGCACCTCCGCTCCTCGCAGCGGCGGGTGGACAGCGTGGCTTGAAGGGGAGGCGAGTCCTGTTGCTCCGCTGCTCCAAGAGCGGGGTGGCAGTGTGGCACGGTTTGCCCCGTTGGAGGCCAGGGTGTGGCAGGGAGGGTGACAGTTGGGGGGGGTGAGTAGGGGATGGGGGGCGGTTTGGTCCTAGCCGAGGAAACAGACTGGTCCCACCTCGAACCCGAATCTCTGGTTGGGCTCGCCAAAGTCCGTGACGCGCACGTCCAGCAGCGGGAGCTGCTCCATGCGGGGCGTGCTCACCTCTAGCACCGTCTGGCTGGAGCCCTTCCGTGCCTGCGGTAAGGAGGGGACAGACGGACAGACAGGTCAGCCCTGGGGGGCTCTCCCACACACAGAGCCACCCCTTTGCGTCCTGCTGTTACCCAGTTGCGACCCGCTGCTCCCTCCTGGGACACTGCCGTCCAACCCTTCCTCCCTGAACCCCAATATTTTGCTCTATCATCCCTCTCCAGAGCGCAGCGCTCAGCTTATCCGCAGGGGACGGATCCTGCTTCTCTGCCCTCCATTCTGCCCTCCTAGTACCTCTAGTGATTCCTCCGTCCCTGTTATCCGCTTACGCCTCCAGCCACCCTCTTTCATCGACTTTCTGTCCTTGTTACCCATCGTTGCACTGACTTCCCCGATGGCTTCCCCCCACAACGCTCACCGCGCATCCATCCATCACAGCTTTGATGTAGGGGCTGGTGTCGTAGCTGAGCTCCTCTTCGTTGGCAGCCAGGAAGCGGAGGGCACGCTGGTGGTCCCCGGTGGCGCTGCTGTGCCAGGCCACCGAGCGGTGGCAGTGGTACGTAAAGTTCTGGCGGGCAGAGACGCTGAGGAGCCTGAGGAAGGTCAGCTGCACCACGCCGAGGGGTTGGCTGTCTGAGTCCACGTAGGAGAACTGGGGGCCGCAGAAAGAGAGGAGTTAACGGACGGAGCAGGATGCAGATATGGGTAGGAAAGGGGAGCAGAGGGTTTCTGCTGGGATCAAGACTTGCGTCAAGCAAGGGGACATGGTGAGACGGGCTGATATGTCCAAGGCCAAACAGGGGATGTTTTGTCTTCTCCTCAGGGAGAGACCTCCAGCTCCCCAAGACAACACGGGGGGAAGTGGCTGGGGACACATGGAGGCAGCAGTGAGGCTGAAATCCTGACTCAGGGTGGCTGGAGAAGACAGAGGGGACCAGTGGGGGAGGCCACATGGGATCTCTACATGGGCCATGTGTTCCTTGAGCACCCCGTGGTATGGAGAACAAGCGCAGGGAGCGTGTCAGCCAGTGCCATAGGAGCTCCCATGTGTCCCTGGCACCCTCACCTTGCTGCCCTCCTTGAACTGACTGAACCATCTCCAGGGCTCCTCCTTCTCCCACGCGGACATCTTCACCTGCAAGACGAGAGACAGCGATGAGCAACGGAGCAGTGCAGGGGGCACCTTGCGCCACGTAAAGCTGGGGTAGGTCCCCGCCACGAAACCACTGCCCTTCCCTCACCTCCTGTGTCTCTTTGCTGGGAAAGACGCAGGTCTCCCCGCCTGCGGTGAAGTTGCAATAAACCTTGAAGGAGTCTCGGGCGCAGCCCTGGTTGGGGTCGATCCAGTACTCGCCTGGGCCGGGAGGAGAAGGGTCAGCGCATGGGGCCACACCGCACGCCGTCGCACCTCACCCCGCTCCCCTCACCGTCAGGAAGGCCCGGGTGGCTGAGCTGCAGGTCCTGGCATGTGCGGGCAGGGTTGTCCTGGGTGCCCATGGGGCGCCGCAGCCCCTCGATCTCCTGCTTGAGGGAGTTGAGGGAGCCGAAGATCTCCTCCATGCCGTCCGCGTAGTCGCGAGCCGCCTCGTCGGCGGCCGCCCTCTCTCCATCCTCCTCCTCCTCCTCCATCAGTTTGCTGCCGTCGATGGAGCGTTTGCTCTTCTTGGGCAGCTGGATAGGCAGGGGCTGGATCACCTCCCCCGGGGGGCCCTGCAGGAGGCACGGCGCCATCAGCACCTGAGCGTGGGGGGCAGTGGAGCCCCCCACCCCCAAGGCAATGCACCCCCTCTGCTCTCAGGCCTTCCAAAACCGGGATATCCTGCGTCTGTGCCTGGATGGTCTTCCTACGGCCTCCCCATTATCACCTCTAGCAGGAGGCAGCTTAGAGCCACTCACCGGGTGTCCGGGGGGTCCCGGAGGGCCACGTTCACCTTTGGGTCCTGCTTGGCCCTATAGGAAAAAGACACAAAGGTCAGTCTTGGAGGGGGGCCAAAAGTAGGGGGAGA